GAATAGCGCAGCGCACTGATTCTAAAAATAGCTTAAAGATTCGGACAAACATTGCATTCTGTTTAACCGCTACGAGGATTATACGAACCGATTTTATTATTTTTACTTAAAGTTACAATAATAGCCCATGTAAACTAAGATCAACAGCGATCTGCTGTGAAAATTATCTGATGAAAGTAAACTTGTAAGTTTGTTTGTCCGAATATCGCCTTTGTCTTCGTTTTTATGACGTCACGGTTGCGCTGCGCTATTAGTCAAAAATATGTACATTTGACTTAAGTTTCGAGTATGGACACTAATAAATAGGCAGTCTTTTCTTATACCAAAAACATCTTTTTACAATAACTTACAAATTTCTCGCGCGCTGAATCCACACTACTTTGACAATGTGATGACGCAATTTATCGTCAATAAGAGGACAGACACATATGTCTATTTGTTAAATTGTTTTATTCCCCTGAACGATTTGTCTTGGGACTCAGTGCAAGAGGTTTATACAAAGAAATATTAAACAAAATACTCACGGCGAGTAACACAGCTAACGATTCCATGGTTGTACTGTCTTGTAACACAATGGGCATGGTTTGTGACTCGTGTGGCCTGTCCTTCGTCTCCTGTATGCGGTTCTGGTGCCGTCTAAAAATATCTGGGCGAGCTCCGTCAGGTACTTAGCAAGAAAGAAGAAACATCAAAAATTTCATCCATCCCCATCCCCATCCCCATCCCCATCCCCATCCCCATCCCCATCCCCATCCCCAAATTCTAGTTTCCCAAAGTAAAATGATTAAATTATACTGCATACCAACTAACATGGCCTGGCAGCATGTGATCATGTAACGACTTAACATAAATAACCTGTAATGAATACTTCGGGATACTCACATGGTTCACCGGGTGGCACATAGACTGGGGGTGGAGTAGTTGCTTGTGCTATTGTTACAGGAACCTGAGCAGCTTTTTGTCTGTAAAAATATATGAATGAAAAACTCACCCTTCTAACTTTTATATTGGGTATTGGCCTTGCAAGGCAGCAACAAAAGAATAAAGAAAATTATCAAGTAGATAAACCGCAAAGTGAAGCTTGATAATTAGATAGGCTGTTTTTCATCCCTCCTCTCAAATCAACCCTAACTAATTCATTTTGGTTAGAGCTGTGCTCACGCGGGGTCATAGCCCTTATTCACGCGGCAGCCATGTTGGACTGAACAATAGCTTCCACCACGCATAGCCTCAAATTCAAGCGCTTGAGAATTAATTTATGCTGGGGAAGCAAAGGTTTTTATTCTCATGAGAATAAACATGGCCGCCGTGTGATAAAGGCCCATACATTGACTGTATAGCGGCTACCAAAGGCGCCTTTGCATTATTTCAGTTGGACCCCGTTTGTGCTGCGCAACTGCTGTACTTGCGGTGGTGACAAGCTTTTTTGAGTGAAAAAAAAAAAGATTAAGGTGAAAAGGTGAAAGAGATGGAGGAGAAGTGTGATAAATGGTTTTACACGTAGAAAACCGTGCACAGTAAATTTGAGAAGACCAATTTGGTCCCAGAGAGCTGTWTTGGCTTTTTCAAGGTAGTGCTATTTTAGCCCAGGCTAGGGCCAAAATAGAACAATGCCATTTTGGTCCCACAGAAGCAATTTTGGTATGGGTCTATCAGTACTGTTTTGGGCCCCCTCAACTAGGCCAAATCAGGGGGAAAATCCATATAAGGGGCTAAAACAGTCCCAAAATCAGAGCTAAAAAAATGGCCCCTACCGGTAGTGCCACTGAAAATAGCCCTACTTTAAGGAAACCACAATAGGGTCAAAATTTTGGCCCCATTTTTGGGACCAAAACCGCCCTATCTGATTTACTGTTTGCGCGCTTCAAATGATGGAAAATTGTTGCAAGTGACGAAATAAACGCCATCTTGGAATTACGTCACCTAAAACAGTCCCACAATGCACTGCAGTTTTAATTCGACCCAGTCTTTTCTCAACCTCGGAACCGATATCTAACACGTACCTTGGGTCCTCGTTATCTTCATCACTATCATCAGCTGCTTCTTCATTTTCTTTTCCAGCGTTACCTATCTTTCTTTTATCGACATCTTCATGGACCTGCTCGGCGGTCCTTTCATTGCGTTTTAATGGAACTCTTGTCGCCATGGTAACCTGGGTGTGGCCAGGTATGGCGTCAGGATTGCCCACTACATGACCACGGGGAATTTTATTTTGAACAATTTTCGTGAGATCTAAATAATAGGGATTAAAATCAAATTATATGCACAGAATGCACACCACTTTGAATAGCGTCAAGTATTGATTTGTAGGTTGGTTTCATCATAGACCAGTTTCGAGTCTCAAATTACCGCTGTGTTCCTTGATTACAGACTCCTTTGCACAGGCTTAACCTCGATTTTGTGCAGAATATTCCCGTGTTCCAGTCAAGGTCCGTCAAGTTTCAAAGTGTTTGTATTGTTAAAGTTGTGCATTCTTTACTTTACCGTTGTTATTTGTTGATATTTAAACACTGATTCGAGGCTAACCCTGTGCAAATGAGTCTGTGATCAAGGAACACAGCGGTAATTTGGAAAACGAAACTGGAGATAAAAAAATAAATAAAAATTAAAAACAAAAATATAAAAATATAAAAATAACAACAAAAAAAGTTATATAAGCAATTATCCTGCTTTATTTTATTTWAAAAAAATCATGTTGGGAAGGGGTCATACATTTTAAGTTAAAATTTAAAAAATCCCTCTCCCCTCCTCCCCCCAAGTCCCATGCCTGTAAAAAAATAAACGGCGAACAGTCCCAAAAACAGATTTTATTACACTAGCGTCTTTTAATAATATAATAATATTTATTTCTGATACAGAACTTACCATTTATTCCAGAAAATTTGTTGGTATTCAAGACGGTTCCAAAAAGTGATTGATGTTTCTGAAAATCGTTAAAGAAAAAACGTTTTGAAAATGAGTACAAAAAAATAAAATAATATATACCATTTCTAGCTTTCTAGAAGGAAGGAAGGAAGGAAGGAACCTAAAATCTGGCTACCCCATTGTACAGTGAGAACAAAAATAGAAAAACTGACCTTCATTTTTTCATGGAGTCCTAACACTGTTGCTCTATACCTTTCTACTTCTTTTTGCGCACTTTCGTGCAAGCCCTGGAATGAATAAATTTATACATAATTTTTTACAGCAGACAATCAATGCAAATAGCTCTTCCACAAGGTTCGCTCAAAACACACTACCACTATCTTTACTTAATTTACAGCACATAGAACTCAACTCACATGTTGACTATTAAAGAGGGAGGAAAACCCCTTGCGACAGTGCTGCTCAAGACAACAGTGGAAATAGGGCAATACACCGCCGCTGATTGACAACAGCGTATTGCCCAATTTCCCTGTCATGACTGTTGTCTCGATCAGCGCCCAGCAATGAAGAGAGTGGTAAAGCAAGGAGTCACTGGCTTGATTATTGACTTAGCAATGTGTGCGTCAAAGTTGTTTGCTGCGTTATTCTCTTCCTTGCCACATGTGTTGTTTTCTCAGGTTTTTACACCTGACCGCCTCTCTTCAAAAGGGATTATTCGCCCACTTATTGATATTTTCATAGTTCTACCTTATAGTATTCAGCCTCTTCGTGCTGAGTGCTGTATTGACGCTTCCATGTTCCAACCTGTCTCTTTAAAGTATTGACTTGAGCTATGGAAAATAACAAGACACTCACTAAAAGTCAATACATTAATATTAACTATGATTAATATGATTAATATATCAGGACCTGGTCGTACAAAGGGTGGATAGCACTATCCAATGGAGAATTCCTTATCCAGTGGATAAGACAATGTTTTCAAATAAATTATTCGAAGTTATTCAATAAATTTATCCAGTGAATAAGATTCATCCCAGGCCTCGGATAGCACTATCCACCCTTTGTACAACTGGGCCCTGGACGCTGTGGTACTGTTTTCCCTTAATACTGTTTTTCCATGTGTCATTTCCTTAAGTAGAACAGAATTCTTTGTTTTAAATTTTAAAATAATCCAGTCCTATTCAGTATCTTTAGCAAACACGGAAGAGTTGGGATAGGTGAAAAATATGATAATTATCATTTTTATTGGTCCCAGGAGCATCACATGTGAGTATAGAGTTTGTCACGTCTATCCCTTGACTCGTGGGATTTTCTCAAGATTCTCAAGAATTCCTCTCTCCGCAAGACCTTACGAGCTAAATTCCAATTTTAACTGTGTGTTAGCAGTGCCCTGACTTAGATCAGCCCAGAGGTTGTTTCAGGGTTCAATCTGTGAGTTAGCCTTGCCCTGACTTAAATCAGCCCAGAGGTTGTTTCAGGGTTCGATCTGTGAGTTAGCTGTGCCCTGACTTAGATCAGCCCAGAGGTTGTTTTAGGGTTCGATATGTGAGTTAGCTGTGCCCTGACTTTGATCAGCCCAGAGGCTGTTTCAGGATCTGATCTGTGAATTAGCCCTGCCCTTACTATGATAAGCCAAGAGGTTATTTCAGGGTATTGATGATTTATTTCTGGTTTTGCTGGGTTTTGAATAGCAAAGTTCATACCTTCAAGCCCTAATACTTCATTTTCTTTTTGGCTTCTCATGGAATTAAAGGCATTGACCTGTTGGTTATGGACTGCTATGTGTTCTGCACTTAACCGTGAATGTTGCTGCTGTAGTCTGTTGTATTCTACTTGTAGCTGCTCATGTTTGGCCTGTTAACAACATTATTCAATTTTAGTATAATTTAAGACATGAATTTCACACACTGTGATTGGTTGAGCAACAAGTGATTCTGAAATATCAACACCCCCCTCTCCCAATCAAAAATTAGCTTCACAGTCTGTGGTCCCTGGAGGGTGAGATATATTACAGTGGGTCCCATACAATCCTGTAAACAATATTATTGTCATGGCTTTTTATGGTTTTATCAATTGAAAAATGATGTGAACACCACAATACATCTTTTCATCTTCATATCAAATGAGCAAGTGCTCTATTGCTTCACATGAAGTGTTTAAAAATGATTTGAACACCACAATGAATCTTTTCATCTTCATGTCAAATAAGCAAGCGTTCTAGATTTTACAACAACTCACGTAAATAACACATTCTGATTGGCTGAGAGCTATGATCAATAAGAGGACAGACACATGGATGACGTAATGTTTTTGAAAACAAGACTCGCCGGTAGGATTTTATCGTAAGGACTGTGATTTTGCGAATTTATTTTGCTAATAAAAGTCGACA